AAAGTTTTCAACCAGTGGCGTCATATGATATTTACTCTATATATGCGACACAATATAAATGTTGTGATGTCAGAAAGGTTTTACTTTCAGCCAAGCCCCGACATCCATCTAGCACAGAATACCATGCTGTGTGTGAATCTGTTCACATTGCGCTATAATTATGCTGTGTTCACTTACTAATCTTACCATTTTATTTTTTTCGTTTAGTTATATTTTGTTTTTCCACGTATACTGGGCCTAGATTTTCGAAGCTCTTTTAGCGCTAAGATAGTCGTAAGTTAATGTTAGGGTATGGCACCTACGACTATCTTAGCGCTAAGAGAGCTTCGAAAATCCAGGCCCTGTACCATATTCCCAACATTCGCACTCAGTCGGACGTAATCGGACAACCCACTGGTAATTTTAGATCTTAAAACTAATGTACTTTTAATGCAATATTAAACACAACGCAACTAGTCAAGATCCGTAAATAAGATCTGTGTTATCGTTGGCCTGCATTTGTGCTGCTTGCTGGGGGTATTGTGCTCCAGGACCGGAGGGTCATGAGACTGGGAGGAAATCGATGTCTATACATAGAGCGCCAGGGTAACATGCCGTAATTCAGTAATACCTTTATAGCGTTCCCCTGCTTCAGATTAGCATGGTTCGCCCTTGTCCTATTTCGTGCAGACCCAGACGCCTTTCATTCTCTTTGCGGAAAATCCCAAAAACTACAGTATCTATGCTTAAGATCCAGAGTCTGTAAAGACGAGCTATGTCTGAATCTAAAGTAAGTCGATATTAGCCCCAAATCTATACATAAACACAAAAAATCTGTGTCTACAGTTGGAACAAGCCAAACACGCCAACATTATCTGTGTCACAAATACGCCCAGGTATAAAATATTATGTGTCTTCATTCAGTATAAATCAAATACGTTCACGCCCAAGTGTACAATCTGACATGTCCACAGTCGAAGAATAGAAGCGCCAGACAAGATAATGTAGCCTACCAAGCACTCAACAGACTTGTTATAGTTGTGCTAAAGACAATCACTTGCCTGACTCATGCTTTTACAAGAATGAACGTTGCCATAAGTGTAACATACGTGGCCTTATGTCGAGACTTCAGAGCCATATAGTCACGGTTCTCTGACAAACCTCGCCAGTCCAGATATAAAGCATATACAAATCGCGATTTTCCTTCGGCACTGGTCGAGGCATTTACTCACCAACATATTTACATGTTCACTCGCCTTACTTATCTCGATCAGGTCAGATCTCATGGTTCGGAACCACGAAACAAACTGAAGAAAACCCATATTACTGCAAGATGTATGTACCCTAATCAATTCATGCTTGCTCCTCACTATGACAAGATTCCGTCTGACACACAAAACTGCCACACTTGGCAACAGAAAATTATTGTGATCATAATGCATAATGCATAATTGACATTAAAAGAAAAGGAAACCAGACCAAGCTGGTCAGGCGACACCACAGATGAAAACCCGGTGTAACAGGCTAGAGTATACCCCTGTCCCAGACTATACCCGGGGTTAAACTGGGCTAGCCTAGTTTATACCCTGGGGTATATTCTGAACTAGGCCATAGTATAACCCCCTAGCCCAGATTATACCCCTACAGAAAACAAGTGATTAAAGATACTACTATAATTTTATTGTACTTCTCACACAATTAAACACTGGTTACAACATTGAAATGGTCCGATACATTTTCCAAGGTTTACAAGCCCTTTATATAGCCCCATATAGCGGCGCCCTCTGCCAAGAATAACTTCCAATATAGCCGAGTTTACCGCAACGAGAAATCCACTGTAATAGTAGATGTTTCTGTCTGTTCCAACATAAATACCAGACCGTCTACCCTAGTCTCATGTGTATCTTCTATGGGATATCGACTCAATTCATCAGCATTGCTATGATCACGACCTTACCAGTAGATCATAGTGTAGTCATATGCTTGTCGCAAAACACACCAACGTCGAATGAGTGGCGATACCATATCAGGAACTGGTTTGCTTTAACAAAAGAGTGATAGCAGAGCCAAGACCTATGCTCTGTAACAATTAAAAATGTGGCCACTGAGGACTTACAGTTGAGAGTAGTTACCTTTGGCAGGTGCGAGTTTGCGGTGCACATACCCAATAATTCACTCTGTTCCATCAGAAGTCTGTGTACTAGTGCAGTAATAACACTATATGACGATGCGTCACACGCTAGTATGATGGGTTTCAAAGCGTCAAGTCATGTTTGATTGTAGTAAGGCTTTAGACTTTCCCTCAAGTATCGTGCGGCATCGGTGTCAGGCAAATCAGGTATGAATCGTTCGGCATTCTTAAACATCTCAAGACATGGGCGATTGTCACTCGCTGTTCAGAAGCATTGGCGAAGGCCTCAACATGTCTGAGCACTGGACGCAGTCCATTCTTATCCAACTTATGACCCCGGTAATCGAATTTTCAGCCATAAACACACATTTATCACCTTTTAAGTTCAAATTTGTATCCGAAAGTCTTTGAATACTTCCATCCAAAGTTTTTGATATGTTGGGGATCATCTTTCCCAATGTTGTGATATCATCTAAGTATTCGGTTGAACAGGCAATACCTTGAAGTAAAGTTTCGATGACCCTCTGAAACATTGCAGGTACTGATGGCACAACTGAAGGCAATCTGGTATATGGAAAGAGACCTTTGGGATATTTTCTGCATATTTTCTGAGTTTTCATCGAGAACATGAAATCATCGCTCATGTCATGTCTTGTAAACTTTTAACTTCCAGCTAACTTGCCCCACAGATCTTCCAATATGAGTATTGGATAATGTTCAGTGACATGTTTGAACATACTTGTTCTCACAACCGTCACGCGTTATGACATCCCTACTGGATAGGCCCAATCAGGGTATTTAACTGGTCACTGTTTGTCGTTTCGCTGGGTTAGTAACGCAGGCGGCAGCTAGGGAATGTCCCAGAAATTCTCACCATTCAGTCAAATATCACAATATCGTTCAATTTCATTCACCTGTACAGCAGCACAGCCGACACTTGTTATCCTTCCCTATCCGTGACGATCCGGATAGAATTGTTTTTTGCAGCCAGCTGACTTAGTTGACATATGTCACCGTATGAAATAATTATGATAACAGTGTATTTCCGACATTGTAGAAAATATTGATGTTCTTCATGAGAGAAAATTCTTTTGTGAAAATGTCTTACTTATCTGTATTGCAAACATAACACGAAACTGAAATAGAACATGCTTGTACAAGACGTTGGCCTTGTAACCAGATAAAAAAAAAAGAAGAGTCATGTTTGCCTAGGGGATTTTGTTGCAAATGTCATTGGAACTAAGTCAAATAAAGAGAGTGTACTTTCTTTGTTCACTGGTTATTAACGAAAAGTCTGTCATCCCGCTGTATGCTATTGAATATGTTGAAATGGATATTGATATTCAGTTTCGAATTCTTATAACGCCACAAACAACATTAAAGCAGTAAACTAAATATATATATTTTACAAAGTAAATAATTTCAATAAAAGATGACATACATGGCCGGGCGGGACAACTTAGGAATGGCCAGACAGTCCTAACTTGACACCCAGAAGGAAGCATGCTACAAAAACATTTTTTATATCATTGGAAAGATCTCAAGGAGATGAATCCAAAAATATAATGTGCAAGTGTGTTCATGTTTTCATAAGCTCACAAATTGGCTCTGAAAATGCATTTCTGCAGAAATTTCTGGCAGAATTTTTTTTTCTACAGAAATTTCTGGCAGAATTTTTTCCTGCAGAAATTTGGCAGAATTTTTTTTCTGCAGAAATTTCTGGCAGAAAAGATTTATAATATGGTATATATGCCTCTGTTGCTCCTATAATCACCCTAACTGGACAGAGGATCACTGAATTGTATATGGCAGATGCATAATCCTTGAAACCATATTAAGCAGAGCCTTCATTAATTGTACACCTGCACATTTAAAATTGTCTGAATGAATTGCTCTTTGTCAGATTTTACTTTGAATTTATCTAATTTGCAGTGTGCAAGTAAATGTGACTTTAAAACAATTAACAGCCTTTTAATGAGGCCAGCCAAATATAAGAATACATTGTACATGTACTTGGTGAAATCCAACAATTCAATCAAGATGAGATATACTATCATAGAAAGCAGAGTTAACATCAGACAGTGGGAAAATAACACAAACAAGGGTCATATAACATAACTGTATGTATTGTTTCATAAATGCCATAGACCACATTACAGTTACACATGCTGTACATATACAAATATATATATATACATTCCAAACACAAAAACATACATTATGGTTATTTGCTTTCTTTTATGGCAGGCTGGTTGTAACAAAGAACAAAATTTAAAACTGTATAAAAGGAGAATTGTATCGTGTGACAAGTTTGACAATACTGTGTTACAAGAGAGACATATCCGACATTTATATCTTAACACTAAATAACTTTTTGTGATAATTAGTTTTTTAGAGTGGCATTCAAACCATCACATCAATGACAAATTAAATTTACACCTCAAACACAATTTGATCAATAAGTAGGGTCAATAAGTACATCAAAACACATGATAATGCCAAGAAAAGAAGGAACTTTCTAACCATGACAGGGGACCATTATGATTTTTACTTATTGTTACCTAGACAGGGATATTTACAAGGAGAATAATCAATTTCAGACTTAACAGTTCCAACAAGAACCATCAGAAGATGACAAATCCCCCCGGCCCCACATATTTGAACAAATCATCTGGCCAGAACAAATCATCTGGCAGTTACTTAAAGTCCAACTTGAGGCAGTTACTTAAAGTCCAACTTGATTTTTTTTAGACTACATCCAAATCCCTTACATTGAAATCAGAGATGAAAAATATAATTTTCTATAAATATACTCTGCTGAAGTTCTGTTGAAATATATTGAAAGGTTTTCGACTTGTGACTCGGACACAAAATCCACCCCTTCTTTTTGAGACTAAGTCCAAATCGTTTTCATGGAAACCGAGAAAAAATACAAATGACAGAAATCTGTAAATCTGCACTTTGGGATCTACTTCAATTGAACTTGTGTAAACTCTGGCAGATTTATTTTTTTTAGTTACATGTAGCAGAATTGTTTTACTTCAGCAAACATTATGGAGAGTTTAGTATAAATTTCATTAAATAACGTTTTCCCATTGAAAACAACTTAAAGTTGTAGGGTAAAGGGTTTCCAGAAGTAGGATGCTGCTCAAGAATTAAAATACCTAACATAACATAAATCAAGAAGAAATAGAAATAAAGATAGAGATTTCTTTAAACAAGATTTCTTCCAACTTGATAATTCAAACTTATGAACTTGGGCTTATCTCAGTGTCCGGTTGTCTTGAAAGTCCAGTTTGGTTTCAGAGATGGTTCCTGTCACAGAAAACAAAAAAACATATGACAGCAGTGTATTTTACCCCGAGCCCTCCCAATGAAAATAACTTCAGCATAAGGCATCTACGCTTCATTTATTCCAGGAAGGTTAATTGTACATGGTAAATGGCGGCCAGAAAACAACAGGCAGAGATATGTACTTCATGACTAACTGCATAAATGTTGACCTAAATGTGACAGAGACAGTGAGGTCTTAGTTATAAAGAAATGACAAAATTCACAGATATTACATGTCATGTGACTAAACGTTACCATGAGTTTACGAACAATGCCTTGAGTACTTACACTATGGTAGCCTGCAGTTTGTTAGATTTAGCAACTCTGAGTTGGCGAGCGATTGCGCTTCTACATGGTACATAAAGCAAACTTTGGCACAGAAGAGCATTCCTAGATACCTCAAAAAAAACCCAACTAACCTCTGAATAAATACACAAGCTACTTTGTAATGTAAGGGAATGGATCATATTGTATGAGTTGAAATAATTTGATTACTTACGTTTTCTTCTCAATATACTTGAAATGAATTCTTTTCTTTGTCATGTCGCTAAATTCAATTAGAACATATTCTGAAAAACATGAAAAACACTTTCAGTCTTCTCATTTCAGGTATAAACACATTCAACATGCTTTAGAAATATATTAGAGTGAGTGAGTGAGTTTAGTGTTACAGCACACTCAGCAATATTCCAGCTAGAAATATATTAGACACAATAACAATGCAAGGTTTAAAATAAATATGAATCATAATTTGAATATATAGGCTATTTGTATAATGTTAGAAATACCTCCATCAACACGCTCAACATGGCCAGGGTATCGAGCTGCTCTGTGCACCAACCATGGAGCCTCAACCTTGTCACCAGTCTTCAACTAAATCAAACATGTACAAAATGTGTATTTATTCTCGTGAGGCTTTCACAAAGTGGAAAACATCATAGTGAAAATCTCAAACAATATAAATATGTAGCTTCTTCACAGCTCTGGAGGTTAATGTGATATAAACATTTACATATACATCGTACATTGTACTCACAGAAGAAGACATACCTCAAACCTGACCTTCTTTGTTGAAAGCCACTCATCCAAGTTGTAACCAGTCCAATGTATTTTTACTCTTTCCTTCTGTAGTGACAATACTTTGGCTTTATACCTGTTTTTAATCAAGATAAAAAGAATTATGATTTATGGAAACAAGAAGGTTCACACAAATATTTATCTCCACTGTTGTTTTTTAATTTATATACTGAAATGTCTATATCCTTCTTGAACAACAACTTTCACTACAGACTATAGCTCAAGTAACTACTAGGGCAGAAATGAAGTAACTGTAGTAATAACCAGAGAGATGGGAATTATCTTTGCTAGATTCAAACTTATCAAATTTGTTGTTGTAGATTTGCCAAATATGCAGAATCGCTTCAGGTATGAAAAATAAACACTGCAATTCTTTGAGCGACACAAAAAGTGTTATCCTTCAAGAAGTTTCAGAATGAAAGAGGGTCCGACTATTGATTTTGCGTCAAATGATGATCAGTACCTTAGCAAATCTATCTGAAAATAATTATAAGAATTGATGTAACTCATGAATTTGTGATTTCCAAATGTGAAGTTTCTTTGAAAAATGATGACAATAATAACATACCAAAAGCCGTCATCCTCTAATGCCTCCACAATCATTCCAACCTTGAATTTGCAGGGGGGTATCTATGGACAAAATCCATGACATGCATGATTAGTAAAATGAACTAGTCAGCTCACTGTTATTTTTGTAGTCTATTTTCAGAGTTTTCTAATTAAAAATTTACCAAGAAATATCTTTCACACAAGTTGCTTGAAACACTGATACTGATGATCCATAATATATACTGGGTGCTGTGTGACAATAAGTCATAGCTAATAACACTGACAGATGTTTTGATAGATGTTTGTAATTGAACTAACATGTTCATTCATAAGTTTAATTCCATTTCTGCACAGCAAAATCCACTTGTCCACCATTACAATATTTCTCCTCTGACACACTGACCCCTTCCATGAAATGTCACTAGATGCCATGCACTTGTGGTGGAACACATTACCTGCACTGGCAATATTTTACCTGCACTGGTGCAGTCTAGATTCGACAAAATTGATACCTGCAGTACAGCAACATTGGATTGAGTGAGTATGGTTTTACGCCGCTTTTAGCAATATTGCAGCAATATCATGGCGGGGAACACCAGAAATGGGCTTCAAACAATTTACCCATTTGGGGAAACAAACCCAGGTCTTTAGGGTGACGAGCAAACACTTTAACCACTAGGCTACCAACACCGCCCCAGCAACATTGGAAATGGCCCGAGAAAATCCTAATACATGTACAGACTAGCACTTTTCATAATTGCTCACCTCATTATTCATGTGTCTCCTTTTTTGCAAGTAGGACTCAGCCTGAAAGAAAATGTTGTTTTACATAAAAATTATATCAATGACAACATACCAGTATTCACATATTACAAAAAAATAGGCCATTAATTAGCAGTAGAGATATTTATTAACTTACCATTTCCTCACTTTCTGCAATCCTTGATGCCTGAAAATAGATTTGTCCGCATGTTATTTGTCCATCTTATAGAAGCTTGTACAAGTAGGGTTCTATTTGCCATCATGACCAGTAGAAAGAAAATAAGTCAGTTGGCTGAGTGATATGAACATCGACATTTCATTGATATTCCTTTTCCATGACCTAGCATTGGGAAGATGATTACAATGACAGACATGTACAGATAGACTGTGGAACATTGTGGCAAGAGCAAACTGAAGCAGTATAAAACCATTTGTTATCTTAAAATAGGAATATCTAAAGTAATATGAAATAATATCTAAATAATTAATGCCACTCAAAAAAAACTAGGAATATCTAAAATTAATATATGTTTGAAAACATCATTAATTCAACCTTCAGCGTTTCATATATATCCAATTCACAGATGGCAGTTTAAGGTTTCTATAACTTACCTTTTCAGGTGCTGTTTTCTTCAAGCTTCTCATATTTGAACTTGATTGAAGAGTCTGATAAAGAAAGTATGATACCTTATGAATATGAATGACATCATTGTTCTTTAATACCACTCTATAATTTACAAAACCATAACTTTGTGATAGAGGTAATCATTCATACTGATTTGTTTAGTTATTAAAAAATTCATAGGTGCATTTAATCAGAACAGTTTAGTTTTCATTTTACCTTTTGTATATCTTTATTAAAGGAATTTAATTAATATTAAATATGTTAAGTGTAATTACCTTTCTACCCCTTCTTGATGCTCTTCCCTTTGTAAGATATCACCTGAAAATAGTGCCAAACTTACAAGAACTGCTTTTTCAAGCCAGAAAGAAACATAAATTGGATGAAGTGTATCATAATATGTATCATTTACATTCAGTTTCAATTGACAAACCATGTGTATACCTGACATTTAACATGCAAAATACAACAGAATCTGAAATTGAAATAAAATACTTACTGGAAGCTCTGGACATTCCACGCCAGGAATATTCTAAAAAGACGATGCAGACTGTTATTCTCTAATCAGTGAATTTTACCATAGTTGACAATAAAATTACCAGCTTCACATCAAATATATGCTAATATATGTAAGTATGGAATTGCTGAGTTGATTCCAAAATCATTTCAGACACAACACCAGGATGAACATTGTCATTAAGGGTAAACAATATGAAAATTTTTTTTGGGAAAAGTGGGCTTATTAACTAACCTCAAGATGTTCCTGTGCCGATTCCTCATGAAGTATATTCTGCAAAATGGCAAAATGCAGTTGAAAATGCTGATTATTAACAAATGATATTATTTCTTATGAGTAATACAATCCCACCAATCCATTTCCGTTTTTCAGATCTTCATTGACATTAACTCATTTTAGTTGGCATGTTTTCATTGAGAAGGAATTACTGTAACTCACCTGAACTAGGGTTATTTGAAAGTCACGGCCATCATCATTATCACTGAATGCATACACCTATAAATTAGAAAATGAACAATTTACAGTGGGCATTATCATGTATGTTAAATTTTAAAGCAGATATGATATCAATAAGAAAAATTAATTACAAGGTGTCTTCAAAGTGCCTGGAATATTGCCAGGTGTGCATTGAACAACCAACAACTGACACAAGTGCATGACTAGATGCAATATTGTGAATGCTTGGGAAGACATGACATGACAGTTTTGAATGATTATTATTGAAAACTCATTACTGACTTTAGTAAAAAATAATCAGTCCAAATACAAAATTATCCTCACATCAGGCTCAGGCAATCTCTGCCTCTTGCAAAGTTTCTTTATTCCGATGCTCTTGTAGCTGCTGTGATTTTTCTTTTCTCTGAAAAAAAGACAATGGTATTTCCAGACTAGGTATTTTTTCTTTTCTTTTTTAATGCCTTACTCAAGTGCCTGTATATGACCGAGTGTGGTGTTATCTAGTGTTGGGAATTGGTTGAAATCTAATAATTGATGATTGGTTCATTATCAATCATCGAAAATGGTGAGTGTCATTTGTCAAAATTACCTGTAATGTTTGTTATTGCACACTAAACATGGAAAACATGTTGTTGTTTATTTAAATTGCACAAAATGCATTTGCAAATTTCACATCTTAAAAGGAGGACTAGTATGTTAGGAATAAATTTCCTGAGTCTGTAAGATATATTCAGTCATGACTTTGAACGAGCTCAGAGTGCTTATGTAATGTAAATTTAATGACAGAGACAAACCAACCTTGTGAAAAATATTGTTAATGTAAACAAGGGTTCCAAAACTGTTTGTGTTTGATTATGAGAAAATATGATCAACTGCTTGATCATTTTGTCACTGCGACCAATCTTCGATTAATTCAATTAATCGGACCACCACTAGTGTTATCAGCAATGATACACCATCAAGAATGACACACAATCAACAAAGTCACAGAGTCTGACCACCCAAATGTTTAGTCACCCTAACTGACCAGCAGAGGTTTCTGGGGGACATTTGTAAGCATGATTTGCCAAAGAATCAGAAAAATGAATGTACATTTACACAAGTGAACCATACCATCTTATCCAGTTCCTGTCTAAGTAATAGGTTCTGCGTCCTCAGCTCCTCAATCAGTCTGTCCTTTTCTTTCAGTCGTTCCTTTAATATCAATACATCGGTAGCTGCCTCCTGACTGATTTCAGTTCCCTTCAAATAGAATATGCATATTGATATATTCTAATGCCAAACGCCACATAACCATATAAATGGTTCTCGTGTTGAAGTTAACTGAAGGAATTATTGTTTATTCAAAGTTTAGATCTGAATCTGTTCTTATACCTTGTTTGCTTGTTTAATCTGTTTCAGTTGAAGATTGAATTCTTCTTTGGAGATTTCACTGTTTCTGAATTCTGTCAACAGTCTGTAAAGGGTTGCCTCATCTTTGAATGAAACAGTCTCCAAGAACAGACATGTGTTCACTTTAGTATGTTTCTGCTCCTTTAGTTTACCAAGCCTGAATAAATCCATGATCTCAAGCATGAGGCGATAACATCTGTCAGATGTTGCAGCTACTGCAAGGTGAACTTTGAAACGACCACCAAAATGATGCTGAAAAGGAAAATTAAGTAAATTGAAAAGAAAGAGCACACGTAAAAACAATGGATGCATATATTAATAGGTTGAAGTAAACTGGGGAAAAAAAAGGACAACAATGAATTATAAGTGAACTGCTTCATGACAAGATCTAAGTAACACTTACACGTGATGGATCTGTAGGTTTCAAAGCCGCCTGGCACTGTTTTCTCCATTTATTATCTGCACTGCCAAGAGGGGTTGTCTCACTTTTACCTGATCTTGGGTGAAGGTTGCGAAAAGCCTGGATGAAATAAATATTGAAACATTTTAGACACTGTACATTTATTAGTGCAGGAGTGAGTGAGTTAACATTTAACGTCACATCGGCAATATCTCAGCCATATCATGATGAGGACAATTTATACAACATTTGAAAGAGTAAAATCTGTCGATGATGGATAGTTAAAGTCCTAGAGTATCACAGATATGAATATAAAACTAGACTGTAAATCTAAAACATTTTAACTAAAAAAGACAGTACAAAATAAAACGCGGGCTACAGATCGCCAACAACTGAAGGTAGATCACCATACTAGGGCATTAGTGCAGGAAGTATGTTTGGTCAGTAGTGTATAGAATTAAAGGGTGGGGACTTTGACTTCGAAAAACCTTGTTAGATTAATCTAAACCATCATAAACTGGGGATGTATGTTTGGTCAATAGGGTATAGAATTAAAGGGTAGGGACTTTGACTTCGAAAAACCTTGTTAGATAAATCTAAACCATCATAAACTGGGGATGTGACAAGGACCCCATGCTTAATTTTGCATCAGTTTGTCTGTGGAATGGATCAACATTGTATTAGTATAATTTACCAAGAAAGGAGTACTCAGTAAGAAAACCCCTGTCCAATAAAACAACATCAATAACTTACCATTATTGTAGCTTTGAAATTTAGGGTTGTACATCTGTAGGAGGGTTTCTGACAGAGATGTATCCAGGGGTTTTGAACCAGGTCAGCTCCTAAAGAAATAGGAGATAAAACTGATAACACTGTCAAGAACTAAATTATAATATCATTCAAAATATATTAAATATTTTTTCTACCTTGATATGTAACTTTATATACACCCATCAGCATGTCAAGTGTCTCCAGAAAGTCATCGGAATCCTCTCGTTTGTACAGGTCACTCCATAAGTTGTCAGTAACTGAATACTTGTGTATGGGGCACTCAATGTCGACATCATCATGAAGCTGAAATTAAAACCTTAACACTTAATACATTTGAGATAAGTTTTATACTTGTACCTACACATGCAGCATTAACATCACTAGCACTACAAGCTGCGACCGATAAACCGCGATGTTGCCTCTGTTTGTACATCAAGGTATGTCGAATATTTATCAATATTTGTAAACGCCTACCTCAATAAAGGAAATGTGTTCGAATGTTTTGGCGTTGCTGGTTAAATTCGATTTTCCGAGAGGCCCATGTCTACTAGGAAAATAAGGAAATGACTTTTAAGTCAGCCAACATAATCCGGTGTCCGATGTAACAATTTCCGAATTAAACAATGACCAAGAATATTTACTATGAATGAATACACCTTCCTGCGTTTTTCGTTCTGCATAATCTAGAGTAGTTCCCCTTGAGTTTCAAAATAGGAATCGAAAGACGAAAAGAAAATATCTACTCATCAATTTTGCACCCATGTTTTAGGGGGGTCGTCACTGATTTCGTACAGGGCACGGGTGAGGGGGTTGGGGTGTTGGAGTCCACTATATATAGATATATATAGATTTAAGTGTCTGGGGTAGGAGGTGGGGCATTCACATTTTACAAGCTCCCCCATAAAGATCACTATCACCCCCATCCCCAGCTACATCGGGAACAATATACTGGTCAAAGTGACAATACCCGAGGAGGCAATTTAATTGCCTCGTTAATTGCCTCGGCACTGCATAGACAATACGCGTCTTGGGTAACATCCATTACATGTTTTGTTGGTTCAGATCAACACCAGATGCTGATATTGTTCTTGACTTCAGGAAGACATTAACATTACTTCTTAATGCAATATACATTGGTCCTGCACAGTTATGTTTCATATCTAATTAATTATATCTTACAAATAATTTTTACAAACTGCTCGCATAGTAATATCAATAGGAAGCATTTATATGGTACTTAAGCATTTATATTGTTACGTAATATCTGTCTTCAAAAAACCCTCGGCTCTGCTCTAGTGAAATAACAGAAATACCAAAGGTCGCCCAACATATGCATGCATTAAGGAAGGCTGGTCGATTCATGATACATGTATACTTTTCTACAAATTACATATAGATGAAAAGGTGTTTGTGAAAACATCTGATTAATTGTTATTTAGTGTGCTCTGCATAAAAATGCCAATGTGAACAAAATAGTTTAATGCCACATTCTTTGGTCGGCTTTTCTGTAAATCAAACATTATAATATACCATTACCCCTCACCTGTATAGTGACTGCAGTGCGTTGAGCAGACGGTTTAACACTGCTGACTGCACGTGGTTCGGGATTGTTGCTGTGGCTGAAATACAAAGTACTATTTGTTACAGAAAGAGACCAAGTTGCCTGTGCCATTGTGCATTGACTGATCATGAATGCGATGGGGCGGTTCATAAAGTACCCGAATATATTCCAGCGGCATGGCAATGACCGTAGGTCTACTCAATGAGGCACTGAAGATTACGATGTTTGAGAAATGTAGTTTTACTCCGCCCAATCCGATTATGGATTACCATCATTCAATACAAACGATACAACAGTGCATTATGGAGAGGGTAATTATACCTACCTGGTGCAGCAGGCAGATGTCCGCTCTTTGAAGTTGCCGACAAACAGGACGCATCATTGGAGCTTGCAAAGACAGCGTGTACACAGCTTCTCCCCAAATTTGCAGAACGATATGAATGTGAGTCAGATGATTTGGAGATTTACCGTGCGTAAGTCTGGCATGACATTTCACGGATATACACCTTCATGTTTGTTTTGCAATACCAATCATCGACGCCCGACCTTTCTCAATGTACTTTGTTTTTAACTGGTGTGTATATAGTGCCATGAGCACATCAGTTGTGTTCCATTTCGTTCATTCTTCGAGAGCGTTCAGTCACACGGTAAAAAGAGACCTAATTATCAAGTCGGCAAATAACTGAAACAAGTATCAGGGTGAAGTACTGGATACCGTCATCAGCTGTCAGCTCAGCTTCGACGTCGTTGCAATGGGTGAGAATGATTTCACATTTTTCATTGATACCAAATACTGTGTAAATCTCAAACAACGTTTGCTTTATGCTGGTATTGAATTCTTTATAAATATAAAATGCGTTTCATTTGACATTGTCATTCATGAATGTTTTTCAACCGTTTATAGATCATACTAACGTCATCACCAATAAAGACCATTCTTCAAGACATCTGACCAAAAGGAAAGGCACAGAAAGAGGTAAGATGAATGTTCAAGGAATAAATTGTTTCAAACGAAATGGACGAATGAATGCTTGTGACTGGAATATTTTCAAACAGATTAACGCGATATTTTAGACGAATCCCCGGTGTGAATAAACAATTCTCATTACTTCGTCTTTTAAATTTCGTTTCGGACCTTAGCACGGCGCACAATTTTTATCATTTTTCAAAATAAGTTAAGAGAGCATGCAAGAGATACGAACGTAGATACTGGTTGGCATTGCACCTGATTAGCGTTACCTACGTGCTGTACCAGGTAAGTGTCATTTGTGGCTTGTGGTAGGATGGCACTGTCTCAGCTGTCGACAGGGTTATCTCGTGGACGTGGACGTGAGGGTGGCGCAGAGGTGTAAACTTACGATACACTTGCGTCGTTGCGTCGAGTACAGTAAATCTACATCTCAGTTATTTCTAATCTCTATATCTCTGACAAGAAGTACGACTATACAGTATAGGATAACACTAGAGAACGTAACCAAAAATATCTAATGTCATAACGCCGTTTAAATTCCGCAAACCTTTATCTGACTCTGGGTGATATGTAGCTTAATACAACGTGAGTAGAGTGTTTGAACATTGATACACATATCCGATACATGGAGATAATTATTTTGCATGTCAGCTTCAAAGAACATACTACTTCAAAGAAGTTGGCATCCATAAATTCTCGCCTTTAGGTATGTTTTTAGTTTCTTGTTCATGGATCAATTAATTTTATGGTTAAGCCCAGTAATTCCGTACAGTACCCCAAGCCCAGTAATTCAGACCCAGATCCGTTGACCACAGTGATTGCTAATTACCGGGAATAAACAGGAAGCGGCCTACACAAGCAGTGTGTCAAGGCTGATACAGGTGGAAGTATGGTGAAATACACACCTGCCCAAATCAATAAAATAAAGTCTTTAGACAGGATTGAATGCACATGTTTGCAACCTGCATTAGAATATGTTTACAGCTTGATTCAGTATTGAAGAAATAAAACATTCCATAATACAATATGGCATTACATGAAATATATATATATATGAATATATTCCAGGCTCAATGCAAAAGCCATCATTATAATATTGCAATCAAAACCCTTGATGTTAGTTATGGTCAGATGTTTTACATGATACCAAATATTAATACTGTGCCTTGGTGATTGAAGAGTTTGGGGAGGTTTGAGGTTTCAAAAGTCATCCAGCTTATTTTCATGAAAACGGCATGAAATATTTTATGATTTGAGCAGTTTAAGATGTCATTGTGAACTTATTTCTTGCATATCATAGGATGATTACGTGAGTGTGAATGTATATGTATTCAGCATCCAGGGTAAACATGTTGAATTGATTAATGCACTACACATGAAGATTGTCAAAGCTGGTTTATTGAGCTGAATCTCGTAATTATATATATAATCGTCTACTGTGCAAATCATAATAAATCTGCCTCATGTGTACTACAAATTTAATGAAAGAATTGTATACTGACATTTATTGATTTTTCTATTAACTTTATGTACAAACATTCATGAAATCAATAATAATTTCTATTTTTCACATATAGGAAGCCAAACACCTGTGAAGAGAAGACTGGTCAAATTTGAAGATTTGACAAGTGGGGCAGGATTACCTTCCACAGGTATGTTCATTAAATTCAATAAAGATGTCAGTATCTATGTTGTCAGTGTGACACTGACCCTCACCAATTTTTAACAGACAGGTGGAGCAAATTTGATTTCTGGCCTTGGGTAACTTTGGAGGCATTGTGGGTTTATGACAATGTTTTTGCTTGGTATCAGAGGGAACAAGTGGGATTGTATTAATTTGTTTGTTTATTACATTTTATATGGATGCTAATATTTTATTTTCTCAACTCTGTGACATCTGGTGAAACTGCTGTTTTGCAGGTTTCAACATCATTTCTGTTACAATGTATGTCTTGTATAACTGGAATGCTGTTCAAACTAATATCAAACCCAATCACTCACTTCATTTAAGCTATAATGCCACATGTCACAGATAAAGTGAATGAACAAAGCCTTATTATATTTTATTGTAATGATATTTAGGGCTCAGTAAATCCACAAGTTGAGACACAAAATTATTGGAATAAATGTTTCATTCAGTAATACTAACAGTATAGATCTATTCTCTTCAAATTAGCCATTAGCACTTGCACAGTTGTCAAAACAATCTGTAACAATAAGGGTCCTGTTTGTAAAGTTGTTTCAGTCTGTCATGTAAGGCCCATATCACAACCATTTGTTGTGTGTCTAATTGAGCCTTTTATTTATATGGATGTGTTAGCATGCATCAGCCTCCATGTATTTAAAAGTGTTGGTTTATACAAAGGTTGTGAATAAGCAGTCAAATTGACTTTTTTTTCTAATCATTCTTTCAATCTTTACACAGGAGGCCAAACACCTGTGATGAGAAGATTGGTCAAATTTGAAGATTTGTCAAGTGGGTCAGGATTACTTTCGACAGGTGTGTTCATTTAATTCAACAGAGATGTCAGCATTAACTTTATGTTGTCAATGTGACACTGCTGCTCTGCAGGCATTTTAAAGTTTTAACTGGCAGGGACAGGTGGAGCAATTTAGGTAAGTTTGGGGGCATTGTGGGTTTATGAGAATGTTTTTGTTTTGTGTCAGAGGGAGAATATAGTTTTACAAGTAAATAATGATGTATTTCATTTCTAGGAGCAGAAAAGGCACCACAATTTCTCAGTAAGACTGCTGTTGACACTGCAACCCAAGGTATTACTTTTAGTGCTATTGCACAATAGACGTGTCAAAATCATGTACGGAATATTTTCATCACTGATTGTACTCAATCTGTAAAGTGATAACAATGTTTACAAATGCACTGACCCATGACGAACTGGTTTAAGATTGGTGTCCACAAACCCATGCATGTCAGTAGGCGATCGTGTAGTCAGGTTTGCTCACCTACTTGACAGCCAAATATAATGCTCAATCACTAGGTTTCTGGTTCTGTGTCATATAGCTTGAATATTATGGAACGTGGGGAAACAAACCAAACAATAATTTTCTGTTTAATGTTGTATTTCAGTGACACTATTTTCACGTGAGGAACCATATTCTGACAGACGGCCCATTAGATCTGGTCCAAGTGAGTGTACAATTTATCCCCTCTAATGGTTATTCAATTGTTCTATTGTTAGGATGAAGCACATAAAATAAGAAATTCATCTGTGAATGTGTTATGAGGAATGCATAATCCCTAAAATCTTGAGTGTTTACACTGCATTGTTGCTAACTGTTCCACCAACCTGGCTACAAACATGTATATGTTTTCTTGGAAAACCTTTCTGTCTCAGTCAAAAAATAGAGAGATTAATTCTTCTAGCAGCCACAAATGAAGCAGTTTCTGGTCTGACATATGGTGATCATGTATATGCAATAAACGAATATGTATATTTCTTGACAGTATAAATTCAATGAAAATGGATGCACATAATCACGGATTTGAGGTATTGCCTGTAACATATGCAATGTTGGTGAGTCAGGGTCATTTATGATATTTGAAGGGAAACATAATGCACTGGAAGTTCAAGGACATCAACCTAGATATTGCTTCAGATATAGTTATGATTGAAAATGTTTTGCAGGGGAGAGGTCAAAGAGATGTGGACAACGAGAACAGAAGGCATTAATATCACAAGACATAAAAGAAGCTTTGGAGACCAAGTGCTGTGTGAAAGAGTGTATGAAGAAACTGTCTTTTGAAGTTATCCACCAATTGAGATTGTCGTTTTGGAGGAAGACCCAAACCAAACAGAGCCGCCTCATCAACAGTCATTTGAGAGCAGTGTTCAGATATCAGGAACAAAGACTGTCAGATGTTCTCTTCACCCTTGAAGGCCATGAAGTTTGCAGTGTTTGTTGGTGTACTGTATTCAAGATCAGTAAAAGCAGGTAAGTTAGGCATAATTGTTGAGGTTATCTTGTAAAGGTGAAGAAAATTGTAAATTTTTTCAGAAGTGGGTTTACAGAATCTTTTTTCATGTAATTTTTGTATGTAGGGATTGTGTTAAGTACAATGTTGTGATATATAATGAAATATATTTTTAGATTTTTTCATCATGGGAGAGCTGTGAAGGACTGCCTACCACAAAAGGTTGATCAAAGATCTGATCAGAAGTATGATTCCTTGAAGTACCTGGATGCAAAGGTGTGGCTGGATCAATATTTCAAAAGGTTGGTTTGCATGTACATTTCTAAAGCATCATAATATCATCTTTGTTATTATTTGTGGTTATTCTTTGTATTACACAGCACCTAATGTCTGAATATACTTATGTTGATAGCTTTGTTTTCATATCAGTGCAAACTGTCTAAGACAGCTCTTGTTCTTCCTTTCCCCCCATCCATTTCCAAGGGTCTTGAGTAATCCGCTGCTTATCTCTGTCCTTGAAATCACAGTGTGCAATCACTGATCAATGTTCGTCACGATATGGCTGAGATATTGCCGGTGTGACGTTAAATATTAACTCACTCACTGATCAGTGTAATCAGACAAATATGTTTGTATGTTTGTTTACAGACATGGAGACCACATGCCACACAAGACAGAAATCCAGCTGCCATCTTGCCTTACAAAGAGGCAAATCTTTGATGCCTATGTTGAAGACAACAATGATCAGGGCAAGCCGGTGATTGGGTATAGCCGTTTTAAGGAGCTCTGGAGAGAGTTCTTCTCATCTGTGAAAATACTGAAGGTAAGTAGGATATACCAAGTGGTAAGTTGTCAACATGTATCTATTTCATGTTACTACAATTATATAAACTACTGTGATACTCCTTAGTTTTCAGTACCTAACAAGTACAGTGTTCTCACAGCTTGAAAGATGCCATTGACATGTGTTATGAACAAATAATAAATGGTGATGTTGAAATTGTTTACTTCTTGTTCCAGTCAAAGGATTTCACACAGTGCTCTCTGTGCATCTTGTATAGAGATGCACTACAAAGAAAGAACTTGGCAAAGGAAGAAGTCAAGGCCTTGAAAGAAGAAAAAAAGGGACACCTAGCTTTGCAAAGGTTCGTTATTTCTGTAATAATGAATGAAGTTAATGAAAATGTAGTTTGAGAAATGGATTTTGCATCACAAGATATTAAATGTGAGGAAATAATATAAGCAACTCACAAAAGGGCCACTCACTGCTTTGTGGTTTTTACAGGTTCAGTGTATGTCTGTCTGTCTGTTTGTCTGTCTGTATGTATGTCTGTAGTTTTCATATTTTAAATGTTTTGTGTTTGCAGGCTACTTCGAGAAACATATTACAAACATGGGGACAAGGCAAAGAGGTCACCATCTAAGTATGTGTCCCTCATCATTGACAACATGGACCAAAACAAGACAAACCTTCCTGTATTTCCAGAACAATCAAAGGTACACATGCGTGATGATTACATATTGAATTACAGGCTCCTTAAACGATTGAACAGTTGACACTCATATTTCAAAAGCTGAATATAATGAATTTGTCTTTATTCATGTACTTATCGTGTGTAATGAATGTTGATAGTAAAAATACTAGTTTTTGACAGGCATTAATTAAAATACAATAATCTTCGAACATTTCAGATTGATGGCAGCCTTGCACATGTCAAGCACCACGTGACAGGTGTTGTGGATCATGGAAACCAAGCAACCCATGCTGTTGTCTGGAATACATGTATTCCAGGCGATGCAAATGTAACGTGTACAGTGCTTCTGTATGTCCTCAGTAGAATTGCACAGGTAACACTACTATATATTTTCAATATGAGTCATTGCCTAATTAATCACAAAACATTTGTTTCAAATTTGTTCCTGCACAAATGCTATGAAATCGTATTTAATTCATTTACTAAAAACTACTATTTCAGCTGAACCATGGGCGTCTACCAGAAACGCTGTATTTACAAGCTGACAATTCGCCAAAAGATAACAAGAACAAGACCGTACTGTATGTTTTGGCATTGTTAGTCAAATTGAAAATCTTCAAAAAGGTATGTGTTCTTTTTGCAACATATTTACATAAACAGTGTGGGAATGCATGCAATAGAGGTCATTAAGAGGATCTTTAACATTCTTTATTAGAATCTCGGGATATTCAAATAATCCAATAATTGAATGTGTATTTTAATAGTGATACTCTTTTCCAGGTGAAACTTTCATTTCTCATGGTGGGCCACACTCATGAAGATGTGGACCAGCTGTTCAGCGTGTTTGCAAGGGAGCTGAGACAGAAACCTGCTGCAACACGTGATGCTCTCCTGCAAGTCCTTGCCAGCAGTAACGATCCAAAGCCCACTGCTACTGTACTGGATGGTGTTTGGGACGTGAGGCAGTTGTTTATCAACTGTGATTCACCTAAAGGACACAAGGAGGCACATGTGTTTGTGTTCAGAATGGAGGGGTCCTCAGTCTCCATGCTTTATAAAGATTGGCCACTGAAAAGTGAAACCTACAGAAAGGTGTCATTGGATTTTAAGGTTGACCTGTCAACACTCACACCTGTCACTCTGGACAAGGAAAAGGTAGATGACACCTGTAAGGCCATGGGGAGAGACTTGGCCAAATGTGCGTCATCTACCAGGCTGTCTGAAGAGGAAGGCTTGTGGTGGGTGTCCTACATTAGAAAGATGGGGGACATTCACACACCGGCCATCAAGCTGTCCGACTTCAAGCCCTTCATGCCTGCCCCAAGGGAAGAGAACACCCTCCCAAGAAATGTACAAGAGGCAATAGACCGAAGCAATGAAAAAATGCAGAAGCAATCAAAGGTATTTTCATTGAGTTCCGATTGTGAATAAAAAATTATATTGTCATCTGTTATACAGCGTTAGAGAGCATTTAATGTATAAAACATCCAGACATCAAAATGAATACCGATTTAAGCTTTTACTGTTTTTCGCATGTCTTTGTATGTCAATTCTTATTATCCTTTCATTTTCATTTTCAGGTATCACTTACAAAGCACAGAAGACAAGCCTCAACGGAACTCTGAGATGGTGGCCTGATTGTAACACTGATGTAAATATGTATATGCGATGTATATACACTGAACATAAAAATATGTGTATAATCACAAGCTAAATTTGCTTTTGCCTCACTGTCAAGTTAAATTGAAGTAGATTTTCGAAATGATTTGGACTTTGGTCTCAAAAAAGGGGATGGGTTTTGTTTCCACACAAGTCGAAAACCTTTCAATATCTTTCAGCAGAACTTAGCAGATATATGAGACATATCCCAAAGGGGTGCCTTTAGCTATTTGCAAATTTTTGGCATTTATAATCTTCCTGGTTTCCATGGAAACAATTCAGACTTAGTTTCATAAGGGAGGGGTGGGTTTCAACTTCAAAACCTTTCATTTTCTTTCGACAAGACTTGGCAGACATATCAAACAGATCTTGAAGTGGTGCCTTTTGCTATTTGCCAATTTTGGCACTTATATTTTTCATGATTTCCATGGAATATTTGGACGTAGTCTAAAAAAAATTCAAGTTGGACTTTAAGTAACTGCCAGATGATTTGTTTTTCAAATATGTGGGGCCGGGGATTTGTCATCTTCTGATGGTTCTTGTTGGGGCTGTTGTTAAGTCTGAAATTGATTATTCTCCTTGTAAATATCCCTGTCTAGGTAACAATAAGTAAAAACACAATGGTCCCCTGTCATGGTTAGAAAGTTCCTTCTATTCTTGGAATTATCATGTGTTTTGATGTACTTATTGACCCTACTTATTGATCAAATTGTGTTTGAGGTGTAAATTTAATTTGTCATTGATGTGATGGTTTGAAGGCCACTTTAAAAACTAATTATCACAAAAGTTATTTAGTGTTAAGATATAAATATCATATGTCTCTCTTGTAACACAGTATTGTCAAACTTGTCACATGATACAATTCTACTTTCATACATTTTACTTTTCGATGACATTAAACATTTGCTATAATCTTTTCTTTGGATATTCAGATCGAAAATAATGATGAAATAACTGAAAAATTTGCGTTGGTTGAAACATATTTTGAAGATGTCACAATAATACACCGACATCTGCACAAGAAATCTTTGTAGTTTTTATGTATGTCCCTCACCTATGATATATAAGTTTCATTATTATGTACATGTTATTCTTGTTATAGTTTGTCAAAGTTTTAAATTTTGTTCTTTTGTTACAACCAGCCTGCCATAAAGAAAAGCAAATAACCATAATGTATGTTTTTGTGTTTGGAATGTATATATATATATTTGTATATGTACAGCATGCGTAACTGTAATGTGGTCTATGGCATTTATGAAACAATACATACAGTTATGTTATATGACCTTGTTTGTGTTATTTTCCCACTGTCTGATGTTAACTCTGCTTTCTATGATAGTATATCTCATCTTGATTGAATTGTTGGATTTCACCAAGTACAATGTATTCTTATATTTGGCTGGCCTCATTAAAAGGCTGTTAATTGTTTTAAAGTCACATTTACTTGCACACTGCAAATTAGATAAATTCAAAGTAAAATCTGACAAAGAGCAATTCATTTAGACAATTTTAATGTGTGCAGGTGTACAATTAATGAAGGCTCTGCTTAATATGGTTTCAAGGATAATGCATCTGCCATATACAATTCAGTGATCCTCTGTCCAGTTAGGGTGATTATAGGAGCAACAGAGGCATATATACCATATTATAAATCTTTTCTGCCAGAAATTTCTGCAGAAAAAAAAAATTCTGCCAGAAATTTCTGCAGGAAAAAAAAATTCTGCCAGAAATTTCTGTAGAAAAAAAAAATTCTGCCAGAAATTTCTGCAGAAATGCATTTTCAGAGCCAATTTGTGAGCTTATGAAAACATGAACACACTTGCACAATATATTTTTGGATTCATCTCCTTGAGATCTTTCCAATGATATAAAAAATGTTTTTGTAGCATGCTTCCTTCTGGGTGTCAAGTTAGGACTGTCTGGCCATTCCTAAGTTGTCCCGCCCGGCCTTATACCAATAGCGCAATTGGACATACATTGTTTTGCACCTTACACATGTTGTATCTATGCATTACTAAGATGGTTATATAAATGTGTTTCGGCTTTCAGTGAGCGAGACCGCCTCCGTGGTGTAGTGGTTAGAGCGTCCGCCGGAGAGTGGAAGGTCGCGGGTTCGATCCCCGACCGCGTCATACCAAAAGACGTTAAAATATGGTACTTGTTGGTCCCTGCCTGGCGCTCGACATTAATGGGTACAACAAGGACTGGTCGGCTCAGAGTCAGTATAATGTGTCTGAGTAGGGTATTCATGCTTCACTGCGGCATGGTATCTCAGTGGGCTAGCACTATAAAACCAGCTTCAGTCTGGGCTAGTACAAGCAGCCGCACTTACCGTGAACGAGACATATTTCCAGCAGTTCCTGATGCATGGTGGACAACTTTCTTGAGCGATCAAGATTCATGTACGGTGAGTGAATGAGTTTAGTTTTACGACGCACTCAGCCATATTTTAGCTATATGGCGGCGGTCTGTAGATAATCGAGTCTGGACCAAACAATCCAGTGATAAACAGCATGAGCATCGATCTACGCAATTGTGATCCGATGACATGTGTCAACCAAGTCAGCGAGCCTGACCACCCGATCCCGTTAGTGGCCTCTTACGACAAGCATGGGTTACTGAAGATCAATATTCTAATCCGGATCTTCACAGGTATTATGTACGGTATGGTATCGGATGCACCACCGATCTCGCAGACTCGGTTGACACATGTCACCGTATCCCAGTTGCGTAGATGCTCATGATGTTGATCACTCGATTGTCTGGTCCAGATTCGATTATTTACAGATCGCCGCCATATATCTGGAATATTGCCGAGTACGGCTTTAAACAACCATCCAACCAACTCGTGGACTCAGCAAACAAAAGTGAGGTCGAGGAGCGTGACAAGCGCTGGAATGTTTAGGAGCAACGCCAATCTTGGTTCTTACCTGATAAAAGTATTGGGAATCATAGGCATTGTAGTATGTCGATAAATAGGTTCATAATGCAATAGGAAACACATTGAAGAATGAAAAAACTCTTTAAGTGCAACGTCATCAACGTATATTTCTCCCTCCCAAAACACAACTTAAGTAAAAAAATAAGTGAAGAGGAAGATATTCGGTTATGTCGGAAGTCCTGTGTTTTGATACATTGTAAAAATGAAACGGCAGTAATTTGAGAAAATGCCTTTTTGTCCTTTACTAAATAAGTTCTCTCTGCATTTCATTTCTCTGTTTTTCTTAACCTAACTTAAAAAGAAATTGTCACATAATTTAGCCTTGTTGTCACATAATAAAACATCGTTCTGATTTTTTCAGGGCTGGAGGACAGATCGAAAGCGCCGACCGTTTCCTCATAAACATCATAGATGATCCCAACGGTACACAAATCCCCGTATTCTTACCGTCGATGGACTGTTTCTTCTGCGGGGTCAGTATAATCTGAAACAATATACGCCATAAATTATCAAGGTAACATTATACAAGGCCAGTGCCGTTCAAATAACTCCAGCGACGTCCATAACTCGACAGCGGCCGTCAATCTGCCAGCTAAGGTAACTCGACGTTTCTGGCACTCCCAAGGATGAGCGACACTCCCTTATAGCGGATGCATTTGTCACATAATGTTGTTTAATTCTGGAAGGCAGATTAACCTCTAGTTCTATCACTGTAATGTTAGCACCGAGCGAGAATAACTCGGAGCGACTGCGAAGTCAAGGTCACGGTCGCGTCGTAAATATTGCCGCTTAAAGATGTAAATCTTCGTGTTTTGTTTGCTATCTTACAACTAATGCGTGGTCCAGCATTCATGTAATACACAACAGATGATGTCTGACATATTGTATTTCACAAACGCATCCCTTAAACCTTTACCGCTCAATATGTTTTCAGCACGCCCGCGCAGTACCTCCGGCGGGAATGGAATTATTACAAATCAATCTTCCGATATGCTGCAGATGAAGAAAGATCTTTGAGCTGTTTTCATTCATGTTACTCCGTTCAATCTGCTGAAAATAAACATTAAGCTGGCTGTGAGTTTTACCTCCGTGTCCGAATCCCCACACTTCCAAATCTAACATCGCAAATGACACCTTGAGTCATCCAGATGTTCTGTACAGTCAACGTCAGCAAGGCACAGTATGAGGAAAAGGCCCTATTATGGTGACTGTGTAGATGCTGGATCTTGTGCCTCAGAGATGCCCTGGGCATAGACTCTGATATTAGTCATGAACCATGCATTTGAGTCCTACATTAGATCGTTTACTTTAATTTCAGACACACGACATGTGCAGGAAGCTTCATATTGTGAAACTCGTTAAGTCGATGCGTTCCGTACAGTGAACCATCACATATGAAGCTGGTGAACACACATGGATATATTCAAGCTGAAAGTGCGGTTGCAAAGGAGGCATGGATTATATTAATCACCTCTTTCTTCTTAAATAATTATAGCTGGTACAACTTATAGATTGTAGCATTTTTTTTGTTTTCGATATATATAAATGACACGAATCCACGCCTCACACAAAATCAATTACACCAAAATAATACTGATATACAAATCACAGAAATGGAAATCCCAACGTATCAACTCTCCTTTCTCCTATACAAAGTCACGATTTCTTGTCCACAATTTTGTAACTTTAGACGATGTGATTCCATCAGAACAGATCAGGTCCTGTTTATCAGCTAACATGCAAACAGTGGAATGTGACCTCCTCATCTTCTTCCAAAAGGATGTGCGTCGTCCAGTCAAACACCCGTCAAGATTGACAAGGACGTTCATTTACTTTCGATGGCTTATATTTCTAAACATACGAGTCAAACGAGCCTGGAAGTGCAACCATAAAGCAGTCTGGTCATGTGATGAGGCACGAACTCCGTACAAACAGATTGAGAACTTCCAATTTTAAGTCTGTCCAATCTACAAATTCATCCTATGCTTGAGACGAGAATGTTCCTTAAGTTATGTCATCCCTTAAAACAGTATAGGTCGTGCGCTACACATAGCATCCGCATAAACACTGTAACAGCTC